ATATATATATATATATATATATATATATATATATATATATATATATATATATATATATATATATATATATATATATATATATATATATATATATATATATATATATATATATATATATATATATATATATATATATATATATATATATATATATATATATATATATATATATATATATATATATATATATATATATATATATATATATATATATTTGTAAAAATGATAAAATAAATATACAGTATTTACTGAGTAAAAATTTTAGACACTTCTAAAATCTGTCATTTTATATATAAAATATAAGACATACTTAATATCAAATAAATATTTTTTAAGGATTTTTATATTTTTAAAATTTAAAATTATTATTTTTTAAAATAGAGAAATGAATGATACATCAATTGTATAAATTAATTTTATATTGTTAATTAATGACAACCATTTATTTTATCAAATTAGATTGAAATTTTTAAATAACTTGTATGATATAATAGAATGATATATTTTTATTAGATTATAGTGGAAAATGTGACTATTAAAGTATTAAAAATATTAAATTTTTTATGGGGGTAATATTTTATTTTAATTAAGTAAAAAATAAAATTATTGAAATTTTTTGTAATATTATAAACAACCAAGTGGGGGAGCTGTCCCTAAAGGCACTAAGGTGGATCCGTGTCTGCTCAAAATTGCATCTTTTAAGTTTGTTTTGTTCGATAAAAACTTCTATGGTAAGGATCAATTTTAAATTATATAAGAAAAGTTATTGTGATTAACGATGTCGATAGAAACATGGTTCTGGATAGAACATTATATAAGGCTTGATTGTTTTTGTTTTTTTAAATTATGTTTTGTTGCTATTATTTGATCCTAATTGTGTTAAAGTAGTTGTGTTTCTGATATGTGTATTTAATTGTGATCTTCTTTCTCTTTTTTTTTTCTTTCTCTGCTGTTGAAGAATATGATAAAGATATTCCTTAGTTTAAACAATAATACGAGTGAATTTCTATTTTGTTTCAAAGCTAGACTTTTATTGAATATTCTAATGGATATGTAGTTACTAATGTTATCTGACACTTATTCTTTGCTTCTATTTTTGTATACAACCGAAAATTGGTAGAAAATAATGTAGAAGAAAACAGTTATTTTATGATTGATTAGCTTCTTTGATTTCTTAAGAATTACACAATCTTTTATCAACCAAATAAATTAATAGATGTTACTGATTTCCTGTCAAATTTCTTTTGGAGTTGCATTCCATGGTAACTAATAAATGTTAACAAGCTGCATCTCTGTTAAAGTTAGCAGTGAGACCATTATGGTATGACATATAAGATTTCCTTGTTATTCTTTTCTTCGACTCTATTTATTGCTTTAGATATTTACTTTATTATTCAAAAGTTGTTTAGAATGCTGCATGTACACTATTGGAAATTAATGTCAATTTTATACTATAATAGATTATTCTTTAACCGGGGATATTAGAGCCTCTGAATAACTATTCTGTCGTGGTGGAATCTGTGATATAGCTCTTTTGCTTCGACTGAGTATAATGGTTTTTTTGGGCGTTGATGTTATTAAGGAGCTCTAGGGTTTCAGAGAGAATGGTTGAAGAGCAAAATGCAAATGGCCAAAGAGCATGAGGTCCAAGAAGACATATACATATTTCCATAATCAAAGCGAAAGAGGAGAAATTATATATAGATAGTTTTTGTTAATATGATTTGTACGTAAGACATTTTAGTATTAGATTATATGATTTTGACAAGATTATACGGGGGCGCGTGTGCGTGTGTGTTTATGTATGTGTGTAGGGGTTTACAAATATATTTGATTAAATGCAATAGATTTAAATCAAATTAAATATAATATAATTACGAGAAAAAAAAAACATATTCTATTTAAAGAAAATTGGGTGTAAACTTGACAACATCCATAGTAAACTCTTGTGTAATATATTATATGAGAATAGGTTATAAACTTGCCAACATCCATGGTAAAGTTGGGTGTAATATATCATATTCTTACACCATATTTAAAATAAAAAATAGAGTGTAAACTTGCCAATATCTAGAGTAAACGTGCTTATTTTACACCTAATTTTTATCAAATGGGGAGTAAATATGTTTAATTTAAATGCAATTATTTAAAATTAATTTTACACCAATTTTTTAAAAAAACAGGGTGTAATATTACATATTTATACACCATTTTAAATAAAAAAGGGTGTAATATATCATCTATATATACATGTAAACATTTACACCCAATTTCTATAAAACAGTGTGTCATATACCATCTACAAATGTACATACGTAAGTATTTACACATGATTTCAACAAAAAGAGGGTGTAATATAACATCTATTTACATCAGTTTTAAAACGGATGTAAATTTGTCAGATATTTCTCATCCGTTGAATTCACACCCTATAATAACAGATGTTAAATGTAAAAAAATCGAGTATAAATTACTTTTTCTGTACTAGTGAAAAGATAAGAATAAATCCACCTCAGATAGAAGAAGGTCCCTACTTTAAACCAAACCTCCCAAACCTAACTCATTTATCTGAAATTTTTTCTAAGAAATGCTTTGGACTCCTCTTAGATCCTTGTGTGTTGTTAATATTAAAACAAGCAAGTAGCACAAACAACCAATGTTATAATTCTCTCCAAATCTTTTATTAAAAACCTTCTGGAAAATTTCAAAAAGTTAGGAAGACAATATATTTAAAAAATTAAGGTTTAACCCACCGATAGAAAAGTCCAAAACAACTTCTATTTCATAACCAAATATGAGGTTTAACCCACGATAGAAAAGTCATGTGCCTAAAATCTTATGAGACAAACACAACTAAATATTGTATGTGCAAATCTACCATGAATCTTTTCGTTACTACCTCATAAATGCTTTAAGAAGAGAGAGGTATGCTATATGAGAATATCATACCACAAACTGCGGATTTGGATCCTCTCCAGTTTTCTTCCTTCTGCTGCTCATCCTGCCTTCATCTCAGCCATTTATTCTTATATTTTCTCTCTCTTCAAACTAATTTCATTTTATTTATTTCATTTGTATTAATTTTTGGCCATCGATGAAGCAGTAGAGGATTGGCCGCAGACAAAGGCAGCAAGTGATTCATTTTCACAAATTTCTTAATCTTCACCGCCATCTTTGATGAGGTGGTTATCGCGAATCAAGCATCTGTTGTTTAGTGTTCCCTGCAGTGGACATAGACATGGACGATAGTGTTGAAAGCAAAGCAGAGGAAATAGGCGAGGAAGAACAGGGTGCAAAGAAGAAACGCAGGGAAGAAAGAACTCAAAAACTTAATTTCACATTTTGAGTATATTTGTCATTTTGCTAAATTTAAAAATTAAATTTCAATAAATAATTAAATTATTAATTTGTATATAAATTTTAAGGGACAAATTGACAATAAACACTTATTGAAACACAATGTTAACCTCGGTAAGAATGACAATTTGGCCCATTCTCAATGGGTACTCATAAAAATATTTAAAATGGATAGGATAAAAACTAATAAAAATGGATACGGGCACGAGTACAAACACTTATATACCTATATGATACATGTACGGGTGTCAATGTTGGTATCCAAACGGGTATGGACTAGGATACGAAGATTTTTTTCAATTGCAAGTATGAGAATGAGCACTATAGTACCTAACACAAACTCTTTCCATTGTTATCCCTAAACCTCGGAGACTGAGGTTGAAAGTCCAGTGTTAAACATCTTTTATTATAATTGATTTAAATTCAAAAAAAAAAAAGTTTAACATTTAAACAAAAATATAACAACTTAAACTTATCTACGAATAAAAAAAAGTGCAAGTGTAGCCTATTATCCCTATAAGCAACGGTTTTTAAGCCATGGTCTATTGTTCTATTGTCTAAAGTGAAAATGGATGTAGTGAATTTTTTTTATCTTTTCTTTCATATTTGAAGTCAATTGTGCAACGGCTGCATTTTTAATAAGTAGAATAACATCGTTTTTGATCACTTTAAAAATATCTTAATAATTAAACAACACTTTTATTTGCTTACACCACTATCGTAATTTATCGCATCGAGAATTGAGAGATACACAGAAATTCATTCATTGAAAATAAAAGCATTTCCGTGCTTTAAGTGTTTGATACATCAAACCATGCCCTTGATATCAAATATTGGGACAACCAACCACAAAAATTGTGATTTTTAATATGGAGAGAGAGTAATTATTAAGGGTGAAAAATTAGAATCACTTGTTATTTAGATACCCTAAAGTATATATACATTTACATGAATAAAGTACAAGTAACAAACAAAATAACAGAAAAATACTTTTGTTGTAACCGGTTACATCCTCACGTTACCCAATTACTCAATGCTTATATTTCTGTTGTTACTGCTTATGGCAAAAGTGTAACCAATTACCAAACGGATAGAGTTACTTAAATTACACTTTTCACACAACATATTTTATGTGCATCAATGTTTTAATTATATTTTCCTTAATATCTTATTTCTTTATATTCTATGAGTGTTCTTCTAAGTGTTATTTACATAAGAAATTAATCTTGAGATCTATTATTCTAATTTTACTAAACTTTTTAGTTCTGCAGCTGCACTCTTTCAAAAGATTAGATTAACCACCAGGATTACTCTCTACCGATATACTTTTTTGACAAATAATACCAATAGTGTGGGGATTATTTGGAATATATCTCACAATATCTACACGAGATAGCAAGTAGACATAGGACGGATAACAACTCCGCTGCGTCATATTTCATAGCCTCCAATTTGTAATGCTCTAGTTCAATTAATTCATACAAGCTACTTTCTCAACCACCAAATAAAGCTTCTTTATTGATCCTTCTTCCTTCCATTATATCCAATATATATAGTTCACATTTTCTTACTAGTTTTCTCATCCTTCACTACCACATTTTCCAGTAGAATCAATTTGTCGAGTTTAGTATTGATATAGAACAATGGATTCGAAAAATGCAATATTTCTCAGCTTATGCCTCTTGGCTATGGTTCTTCTTATGTCCTTAGAGGTGATAGCAAGTGACTTAACTGAGACTTCCTCTAATACCAAAAAGGGTGAGCATTACTATACTTTTTTTTTTTTTTAAATTTTAGGAACAAAATATAGGTTTTCATACTCATTATATAGGAATTTATTATATATATAAATTTTTATTTAGCTACATATATTTCATGTCATGTATGATTTTATTGTTCGATAGTTTTTTTGGTTAACTATGTACACACATAGATATTCCATAAACAAAGTTAAAATAAATTTACATAATATTTTATTTGCAGGGGTAAATGATGTCAAAAATGATAATGGAGACGACGGTGATAATGGTAGTGATGGTTACAACACTCGTTATCCAGATAATGGTGATGGTGGTTACAATGGTGATCATGGTGATGAGTATCCGGATAACTGTGATGATTTTCCGGGTAATGGCTGGGGTTATAATGGTGGTTACCCTAGTAATGGTTGGGGTTATAATGGTGGTTACTCTGGAAATGGTGGGAGATATGGTGGTTTTTTTCCTGGCAATGGTGGTTATTTTGGTGGTTACCATGGTCGTGGTGGTGTTTATTTTGGTGGTTATGGTGACGGTTACTTGGGTCATGGTGGTTTCTATTATGGTGGTGGTTTTCCGAGTAATGGTCACGGTGGTGAAATTGTTGATGGGGAAACTGAAGACAACACTCATAACTAATACTGATATCATCGCTTATGATATACTTAATAATAAATTTCAGGAATAAATAATGTTGGGTGTATATTTGGAGAGGTTTCAATTTGTTGTTATTATCTATCTTGTGTGTAAAATACATCATTAATATGTATATGTGATGGTGAGTTTAATTTTGAACAAAAGTGGTGAAGTTGTTATCCTGTGGAATATACAAAAGAATTATAGACTTTAATTAGTAATTTATCTTCTTTAAAATATATATTCATATAGATGAGGTTTAATTTCTAATAAAATCCACCTATTAAAATAACTACACGTGGTCACACTTTAAAATAATCACCAAAAATACATGGTTATTAAACTAGACAGACTTATGCTTAAACTTTAAATTGCTTTAATTGAACGTTAGAACCTAACCACATGAAAATTAAGAAGGCATATTTTATACAAAAAGTAAACGAGAGGGATAAAGAAAATGTACATCAGGATATATACTTGTTGGGTAATTCATCTTTGCTTGCGCTTAATTTATTCTTTAATTATAAATCATCAAAAATTACTGAGTGATCCACCAATGCAAATTACTGAAATACCTATAGGTAAGAGCTAGCTAAGCTAAACAAACCTAAAATCCAATCCACAACATAATTCTTGTATCTGAAAAATACTTCACAAATCATTAGAACACCTAATGAATCTCCACACTATAAGAACTCATATTTTCATAGGAGGTGAGTTACACTCATCCGTGGTGTTTTTGGTTTGAGAAAAAAGAAGAATGTTTCAAAAGAATCTCACACAACAGTTTTCATAACCCAAGAAATCAACACACAAAAATGTCGATGCAAGAGGATTAGTTTTTATTTTACTTTTAGAGAGAGAAAAACTTAGAGTGGTAGCAAAGAACACGTTCTAATTTTGAAGATCACTGCAGTCTATACGATATTTTACCATGTGAGATATAGGTTACCCAACAATGTCAAAGTGGGTTTGGCTAATCGGGTTTAAAGTCCTAATCTTCGAATTAGGGACCTATTGCCTTGCTCATTGGAGGCTTGGTTTGCCCTGTCATCTCTCGATGGGAAAAGATGAGGAATGGGTGAAGGTTCGCCTAAAACAACATATGAGGCCGATAGCAAGGAGATCAATTTGGGTGGCTCGCAAAGGAAAGGACAGGGCAGAAGACGAAGGAAAAATTTAGGTTTGGCAAAAGGAAGTTTTGCACATCTAATGTTTAACATTGATTAAAACAAATTGAAAAGATATATCTTCAAGGGCTTAGGATTCTTGGGTATGTTAGCCTCATGGAAAGGTAAAAACGTGTACTTGATTAATGTATATTCATCTTGTCAACTGTCAGAAAAAAGGAAGTTGTGGGCTGAACTTATTACTCTTAAAAGGAAGTACATGTCGGGACACTGGTTAATAGGGGGATTTCAATGCTTTGAAATCTAGAGAGGAAAGGTTGGGGTCAAGGGTTCATGGCCTGACTGAAATAGAGGAATTTAATGATTTCATAAATTGTATGGAGTTGATTGATTTTTCAACAGTTGGCAATAAATTCACTTGGTTTAACTCTGCTGGTTCTTGTTATAGTAGATTAGAAAGATTTTTAATTTCTCAGGATTTGATAACAATGTGGAACACTGTTGCTTAGTTTATTGGTGATAGGGCCATCCATGATCACCTTTTAGTGTGGATTAAAGCTAGGAATACAAACTGGGGTCCTAAGCCGTTTAATTTTTTTTCGTGCTGGTATGATCATACAGAGTTTCTGGAGTTCGTTAAGAAGGAATGAGGTACTTTTGAAGTGTCTGGTTCTCCAGCATATACTCTTTCTTTGAAATTAAAATGGTTATTAGATGGTGGAATACAAATACGTTTGGAATGGTGGATCTTGATATTGAAGAATAGGTTAAGATAATTATTGAAGTGCACTACTACGGAAAACCCATTTAACAACGGTTGAGAAAAATATATAATCACGAAGGCCCAAACATTGTTATGTAGAGTCTCGTATATATGATACTTACAATCACGATCCAATAACCGTTGTAATAAGATAGAAAGCACACTACCTATAATTACGTTTATTTTAAATACCCGTTGTTGTTGGTCTTTTAATAAAAATTAAAAATAATATAGCATTAGAACTACCTATAATCACAGTTATTTTAAATATCCATTGTTATATGTCTTTTAATAAAATAAAAAAAGAATTGCAGCATTATAACAAGAACAACAACAACATCAAGAACAAAAAGAACAACAACAAGAACAACAATAACAATAACAATAAAAACAATAAAAAACAAGAACAAGAATAACAATAACAACAATAACAAGAAGAAGAAGAAGAAGAAGAAGAAGAACAACAACAACAACAGAAACAACAACAAAGCAACAACAAGAACAACAATAATAAGAACAAGAACAACAATAATAAAAAAGAACACCAACAATTAACATTGCTAACTTGAATCCATATTTTTCTTGTTTCATTCAAGTTGTAGAAGAGATGATGGAGTTCTGAATATTGTTAATGAAAGAAATGATATTTTCGAGTTTTGTTTATGAAGGAAATGTTGTTTTCGAGAAATAGAGTAATGTAAATGAAAGATGATGTTTGGAGGTAGAAGATGTAGTTCGTCTATGTTGGAAGTTCGTCTAAGTTTTAGGTTTCACGCGGATCACTAATTGTAGTATCCTGACCGTTGATAATCACTAAATAGACGACCAAGATTTGTTTAAGGACAGTGAATAAACTCAATAAGCGTGTCACCTATAATGTTGGTGCTGGGGCTTAAAAAATAAGTAAAAAACCAAAAATATTAGTGTTGGGACTTGAATCCATGACCAGTCGCTACCTATAATCATGGTTTTTTAAATACCCGTGGTGAAAGGTCTGTCAGCATTTTGAAAAAATAAGTAAAAAACATTACCTATAGTTGCAGTTTTTTAAATACCCGTGGTGAAAGGTCTGTTAGCATTTTGAAAAAATAAGTAAAAAAAAAATGCTAGTGCTGGGACTTGAACCCATGACAAGACGATACCTATAATCAAATCTTTTTAAATAATTATGGAGAAAGCCCTCAATTTTCACTACGGTTGAAGTTTTAATCGTGATTAAAAGTACTTTAATAAATAAAAAAGCTCCTGAATATCACATATTGCTACGGTGAATAGGAAATTGTTCTTACTTTGGCATTGTTGTTTACGCATTTTGTAGTAGTGGTGGAATCTTTTTTGGCTGCTGGTGTTAGAGGTTTTGAAAATATGGGTCTTGCCAATCGATAAATGGCTCAGGAAATGTTTTGGAAGAAATCGCGCATAAAAGAAAGTATCCTCAAGCGGAAGTCTCGTGTAAAATGGGTCCAAGAAGAGGATAAAAAATCTAGGGGTTTTCATGTTATGCTCAAAGCTAGAGCTAGGTGAAACTACATAAATTCTGTTAGGGTGGATGAGGTTGTTATCAAGGAGGTGACTTTGATTAAAACTTATGTGAAGAATCATTTTGAAGCTAGATTTCTTCAATCTTCTATGAAGAGACCAAGATTAGTGGTGGATGGGATTGAGAGGATTTCACCTGAGGAGAGTTGTATGTTAGAAGAATTTTTCAGTGCTGAAGAAATCAGATAAGTAGTTTTTGATTGTGATGGCAGTAGAAGCCCTAGCCCAAATCGGTTCAATTTGGAATTTCTTCAGAAAAACTTGTGATATCATTGGGCCTGAGGTTATTCTTTGTGTACAAGAATTTTATCATGTTGTTAGATTACCTAAAGCTTTCTCTTCATCGTTCTTGGCGCTCATTCCAAAGCTGGACAACCCTCAAAACTTAGATGATTACAGACCTATTTGCCTCATAGGAAGTGTATACAAGATGACCACCAAATTGCTAGCTCCAGGATCAGAAAAGTGATTGGTAATCGAGCTCCCAAACGACGTTTATTCAGGGAAGACATCTTGTTGATGGAGTTGTGGTTCTAAATGAAATAATGGATATGGCTAGAAGAAAGAAAAGGAGTTGTGTGTTATTTGAAGTAGATTTCGCAAAGGCATATGACTGTGTGGGCTGGGGGTTCCTTAGATATATGCTTAGGGCCAAGGGATTTTGAGAGAAATGGATGCAGTGTCGAAAGGGCTTCGTCAAGGAGACCCTCTTTCTCCTTTCCTTTTCACTATTTTGGTGGAGGGCTTAGCAATCTTGGTAAAAAGGGCTGTGAAGGGAGGGATTCTTAAAGGTTTCGAAGTTAAGGATATGTGTGCTTATACTTTGCTACAGTATGCTGAAGATACTGTCTTGATATGTGATGGTAGTTGGGAAAATTTGTGGGCCGTGAAATCGACTCTTAAAAGTTTTGAACTGCTGTCAAGGTTGGAAATAAACACAGTGAAGAGCAGCATTCTAGGTGTGGGTGTGGATGACTACTTCTTAGGAGGAGCTGCTCAAATCATAGAAAAAGGAAATTCTGGAAAAAAAACCAGTCACTGATTCCTTGAGGAAGGTTGTCTCCTTGGAAAGCTAGATTGTTGTCCATTGGGGGCAGTGTGATTGTGATCAATTCTATATTAACCAATATTCAAATTCACTATTTTTCTTTTTTCAGGGCACCTAGAATTGTTTTGAAGGAGTTGATTTTGTTAGACTTTCAACTAGGGAGCATTGAACATAGTGTGACTTTTTTCTAGAACAACCTTTGTGAGAGACACATCACATACTCACCCAAAACTTTAAGGTGATAGGTGTATGGATTATCTCACTTATAAATGCTCAAGTCACCACATTTATATTCAATGTGGGACTATTATCCACACCACTCACACTTGTTAATACTTAACAGATTTCGATCCAACGAAACTTTCTGTGGTTTGGAGCCAAGGCTACAAGAGGAATCTCGTGGGTGAGTTGGTCTGCTATCTGCATGCCAAAAAAAGACGGAGGTTTAGGTATCAAAGATTCAGACCTCTTCAAAAAATCTATCTTAAGTAAATGGCTTTGGAGGCTACTTGTGGAGAAGCAA